TGTTATGCTAAAGTTGTGTTTAAACGATATATGATTTTATCTAGAATTGTATATTTTAATTGAATTATGTTATTTCTCTATTTTAAAATTAAGTTAAAACTATAACATTAAATATAAGAAGAATATTACAGAAATTAAATATCAATAAAGATCTGTTTAGATCAAATATAAGAAAAGTTGGAATTTTATAGTTATATCTCTTTAAGTGGTATTTTAAATTTTAAATCGTATAACTATTTGTTATTTTAGATTTTAAGTCGTATAACTATTTGTGAAAGTGAAGTAACTAAAAATAAATATTAAATGTAATTTACATAGTTAAAATCAAGTCAATTTTTGATAAATCAATATATATATATATAATTTATTGTAATAATGTTAAGATTCCCATAGGTATATAGATATCATCTTTTATTTATTTTATAACAATCTATTTCAACATACTTGGAAAGAAAGTTTGAAAGGAAGTTTTCTATAGAAGAAAAAAGAAGATAAATACAAATTATTTGTATAAAACTTGTATTAGATAGGTGTCATATTTGAATTTATGTGCATTTAAAATTTAGTAATAATTTATTTTACATTATTGAATTTTTTATTATTGATTTAAACTTTCTTAATATTCGTAAAAATTATAAATATAATAAAAACAATTTATAATGTATAATAAAAATAAAAACAAAATTGTATATATATATAATTCAGAATATACTTTTGAAATGTGTCATTTTGTATTAATAGAAATAGAAATTAAAATTTTCCATGTTGTATCGTAATTAGAACTATAGGAACCAAACAAGTAAATTTTAGGATTACATGTTATATTAATCATTACATTATTAATAATTATTTATTAACAAATATATTATATAGTTTTCAAGTCCATTTTTCTTGCATTCATATATATTGATTTCAAGTACTAATTACCTGTTCTAAGAGTCTTTTTTTTAATTTCTAATGATTGACTTAATTCTAGTAGTCATCAAAAAATTTTTTTCATCACAAAAAATAGTAAAAATATCATAGTTTTGTCGGTTTTACCAGCTACTAAATTAAATTCATTTTTCTCCATCAGATTTTTGAAAAAATTTTATCTTGAAAAAGAAAAACTAAACATTTTGGAGCAGTTTCTATGTTTAAATAGTAAAAGATATACAATTTCCCTTACAGTGCATGATTCACTGAAATAAAATTAAAATGATCGGGACTTTGAATATTTGTTACCGATTTTTCCGTATATTTCTTG